CCACCCATTTCTCTCTCTGTAGTTGGAGGACTCTTGAAATTGTCTAGGGAAGAACATTTCACAGTGGTTCTCCTGGCCAACACCCATCCTAATGCCTATGTTCTTGCTCTCCTATTCTTAAGCTTCCTCCCTTGTGTCATACTGCATGTCTGCTCTTGCTAATCAAAAGTTTAACCAGTTGTACCTCCAGGGACACCAACCTCTCCAAAACTGCCCTGAAAACTACTGTGCAGGCCCCATCCAGGACCCACAGGATCCTGCCCCATACAATGCCCCCTGCCAGCAGGAAGCAGCTAAAGAGATCGATGCTTCGCCCCAATTCCTGATCCTCAGCCCCTACCCTCATCATTATTAAAGAAAATATGGGGGAATGACAGAACAATAATGTCGCCATTTTGTGAATTAGCCAAAATGGCAGCCCCGCCCTTAAACAAATTCCCGTGCTCTAAGACAGCCCCACCCCTACCATAGACTACTGCACATGTATTAACTTCCTTACCCTCCCCCTTCTATAAAAGCCACTGCTCGCCCAGGCTTGGGGCTGTGCCATCTTTTCCCCGGCCAGCCTGGCAGTCTGGGCCTGCCATTAAACTTTGCTCTATGGACGTGAGTTTTCTCGTGAGCTTTCTTTGAGAGCGGCATTTTTCCTAACACTCCCTCTGAAATAATTTTTATTATATAAAAATCTGTAAGTTCTATATGTCAAAACTTAAAATTAAAAGTTGGAAACCTATTTATGGCAAATTATATGTGAGATGCTTTTATGTGAATGTTTCAGTAGCTTTCATCATTATAGTGAAATACCTGACACAAGCTACTTGTGGAAAAAGAGGTTTATTTAGCTCAGTTTTGGAGGCTGAAAGTCTATATGGCATAGCACAGGCTCTGTTTTGTGCCCCTGCACCTTGGCTGCTCACCTCATAGCAGACAGCAATGAAGTGAGGACATGTAGGGAGCAAGAACATTACATCTTGAGCCAGGAAGCAGAAAGAGCTGGAGGGAGTGGGCTTGGTCCTTTTATAACAACAACCCTCTGGCAAGAACTCAAGGGCTCACATGAGAACTACCTTTGTAGAGCATAGCTCCAAAGACTAAAAAACCTTTTACTAGGCTCTACTTCTAAAGCATTCCACCACTTCCTGATAGTATCACCCTGGGGGCCAAGCCTGCATGGACCTTTGGGGGACACAAACTATATCCAAATCATAGCAATGAGCAAAAGGATAACACTCAGCCAAGTTGACCAGAAACATGAAAAGAACAATCCAAAAAGAGAAAGGGCCAATGAATTTATAACCTCATTAGCAATCAAAGAAATGCACATTAAAATGAGATACCAGCTTTGCATCTCAGATGGGCAAAAACATTTTGAAGGACAGTGCTCAGTGCTGGGAGTTACTCCCTTGGTGGGGTGGACCATCTCCTACCTGCTTTTGGAAACATAATGCAGTGCAACTGCTAGAGTTTTGTTTGACAATATGTTTCATAACCTTCACATATTGATAACTGTTGATCTAGTAATGTCACTTTTAAGATCCTGTCCTTAGACAAGAGTGATGAACCTAAAAATTTATATATAAGAATGTTTAGAACATCATTACTTATAAATGTAAAGATGTACAAAAATCCAGATATCTAACTGTGAAATCCTGGCTAAATAAAGTATAATGCATTTATATGACAGATAGTGGGCAGGTTTTCCTAAAGAATTCTTAGTAACCTGCTCCTATTAAGTGAAAAAAAAGAACAGAGAAGAAAATTGTGCATAATAATAATGTAAATTGTCTGTGTCTTCATATATGTGTGAAGCATGCACAAAGAGAAAATAAAAAGGGTAGAAGGAAATACACCAAACTGTTAATAGAGCTGTCTGTGGGCGATGAGGAATTAGAAATTTATAGCATATGCATTTTTTCCAAAATTTCAATTTTCACACACTATCCAACTAATTTTTTCTTAGCATTTGTACAGTGGGGCCTAGGGCTGATCATACAACTTTCTGAAAATTGAAAATTTACAGGCAGATGCGGTGGCTCATGCCTATAGAATCCCAGCTATTTGGGAGGCAGAGATTGGGAAGATGGTGGTTTGAGGTCATCCTGGGCAAAAAGTTGGCAAGACTTCATCTTAATAATCCAGGTGTGGTGGTGTGCACCTGTCATCCTGGCTATAAGTAGGTCCTAGGTAGGAGAATCATAGTCTGAGGCCAACCCTGGGCAAAAACATGAGACCCTATCTGAAAAATAACTAAAGCAAAATCGGTTAGAAGCTTGGCTCAAGACACTGAATTGGAATCCCAGTACAGCTAAAAAAAGTAATTGAAATTTTGCTCCTATTCTAAGAGTTGAGGTGCTTTTTTATGAGTATTTAAAAAATCAAACTGAAGCTCAGGAATAAATCATGACAGAGTATTCTCTTGGAAATCTGCAGGTGTTTTCTAAGCATTTAGATTCTCATATTTAGTTAAGTTGAATTTTAACCTGATTTTGATATTTTGGTTATAGGTAGCTAAAATATAGTACTTCATGCACATGATAGATTAAATACTTCTATATCCTGTGAACCTAACTCCCATTAGTAATTTGTATACTCTGGGGAAAATAAATTCTAGGTTTCAAAGAACAGGTTTGGAAAAGTTCCTCTCAAATATACCAATTCTGCTAAAATTGTATTTTTATTGTTATTTTGCAAGTATTTTTAGACATCTTTTCCTGCAGGCTTTTATAGAAGTCTGTCACCTGGAGTGAAAAACCCCACAAGAGGACAGAGGGTTATAATATTTTTTTGCTCTGTACTTGAGAGGAAAATGCCTGTTAAGTGGACCTGCCTAAGTGGTGGCAGGTGAACTGAATGAAGGTTGCATGTCCAGTCAACTGAGAACCCCTGGATCAATGAATTGTTGAGAGAGGGAGTGGATGCTCTGGGCTTGGGGTACCCAAGTGTTGCCAGCTCTCTGTAGCAGGAGTGACCTGTGCAGTTCCAGCCTGGCCTGAGGGTCCTGGCAGAACTGTGATCAGGCATGTGATTGGTACTAGGCCTCAGCCAAGAATGTGCCCAGCTGAGAAGGGCATGACATCACTTGTGCCATTCTACACCAGTATTCATGGAATTATATGCCAGAAGGACTAAAATGAACAGATGAACCTCTCATGTACCAATCTTAACCCAAGTTATTGAGCAAAGAACAGCATGAGAACCTAATGAGTTTGCTTTAAGTGTTCAGATTAGCTAGAAACTGACTAGATCCCCACCCCTAGTAAGCCTAGGGTGTCTGGTGGCCACAGGGGCACCTACTCACTCGTGAAGCTAAGAAAATAACATTTGGAATTTTAGAAAGCCCTAAAGGCCTTTCAAAGAGGGTATTAAAAAATATCTGTTAGGACGTATGGCTCAGGTAGTAGAGTGCCTGCTTTGCAAGTGCAAAGCCCTGAGTTTAAACCCCAGTCCCACACACAGAAAATCTAATACATTTACTTGGAATGATACAAATATTTTCATCTCTTTATTTTTAACCACAAGCTAATTTTTTTTAATGTAACAAAGGTCAACACATGCCTACCTTTTTCTCTTCAGCATCTTACCTCTTCCATCTGCCTTTGAATAATCAGAAAATTCAGGGCAAGTGTCCTGACTTGAGTTTAATTCCAAGGTCTCTGTTTCTGATTTTCCTCTATCGCAGCTCCCAAAAACCTGCAATTAAAATAAATATTCTATTAGCTGCAGGGTAATGAGATAAATAATAAGGCCCAGTCAAGTCTGCTATACATGTGTGTCTGTGTATTCCTGTGTTCTTACATTTGTTAGAAGATGAATGCTATGAATTGAAGGAATTGGTTTTGAAACAAAATTAAGCTTCATAGTGAGTTTTAACTTTCTGTTTCATAGATGTGTTCCCAAAGAGACAGGGATTACTTTAGAGTCTCTCAGCTTTCAATATCTTTCTTCTCAAATGAAGATAAAACTAGAAACAGAATACATCAAGTGTACAGTACACTTCTTGTGATTTAATAATTTTATTTTTTGTGATACTGGGGTTTGAACCAAGGACTTTGTGCGTACTAAAGCAAGCACTCTGCCACTTGAGCCATACCCCAAGCCCTTTTATTTTTTGTGTATATATACATATATATTTTTTGGGGGGGTAGGGATGAGTGGTACTGGGGGTTGAACTCAGGGCTTCATGCTTGCTAGGCAGGTGCTCTATCACTTGAGCCACACCTCCAGCGATTTAATCATTTTTCAGTACTGAGCTTGAGATTTAATCATTTTAGTTGAGGATTTTTTTGCCTTGTAAAAAATTTCATTCCATCAAGGTATAGTGGTGCATACACTGTGCATGCAAAGACACTTTGCTTTTGAGGATTATAGTGTGTTTCACAAAGTGAAAACTTACAGTTACGTCTCTTTCAAAGTCACCCACTTGGAGTTGCTAATTTTAGCCTTCTGTGTCTCACAAAAGGTTTCTTTCTAAGCTGTCAGTTTCCTGGTATCACACATTAAAATACTTTTGTAGTGAGTCAAAGTAGTTACTGAAGGATGCCTCTGAATTTTCTATGTTCTTTTAGAATTTGAACAAAAATCACTCAAAGAAATGTCCACATTATCAACATTCTTTGTCAGCAGAAATAATTCCTGACCACTTGAAGGCTACAAACAGGGCCCCTGGTGTTTTTTTCTATGAATTTCTTTTGATCTCTGTTCATTCTTTTAGTTCTTCCTACTGCAGGCAAAATAGGGAGGAGAGAGAGAGAGACAGAGATAGAGGGAGAAGTGGGGAGAGAGAGAGAGATTGGGACCAGTATCCTGCCTTGCTTCTGTGGCAGAGGACAACTGTAGTGCCATGTCTAAATGAACAACACATGACTCTTATTTTCACCTCCTTCCCACCCTCCTCATAGGTTTCCAATGTGTACTTCAAACGCCTGATCCCCTCAGCATGAAAACCAGTTGGTTGTGTTACTCCAACCTTTTACTTTCCTAAGAAGTGAGCAGTTAAACCCAGGTCCTGCATGGCCTTTGCAAAGAGCTGTCCCATCTCCCCAGCAGTAGTCAGTGACAGCACGTCTGGGTTTCATCAGCTCACTGGGCTGTGTTTCACCAGGTCTCTTTGCCAGGGCCTCCTTGGCGGCGTATCGCACCTACTGCAGAAACGGCCCTCACAGTGATGCTAAGAAATGTTCCCTAGCTTCAGCAATGACCTAGTTCACTCAAGGGCAGGGAAAAATGCTCTTCTTCCAGAACTTGCCTGGGCATGGACTTTTTCCTCTTCAGAAGACATGAAATTTTCTGAAAACAAACCCATGTGTGCTTTGACCTGTTTGTGGAAAAGACCCTGTGTTTGAGTCCCTGTCCTGGGGGCAGGGACTCCCACTCAGTGCCTCACACAGAGCCTGGGGAGCCCAGCATTGAGCCAGCCCTCCAATAACATCTCTTGGACAAACAGTATTGAAAAGTAAGTATGGAGACTTTTGGCTTTTTACGTAAGGAATGGCTGCACTTTAAATATATAAATAAACATATTTTCTATGACAAAGAACAAAACAGATTGCTTCCTTATGAACTAGAAGAAGATGAACCAAGCAAAGGCTAGAAGGGATATTGGGACATACCGGGTTTTAATACAGCCAAATGCTCATGGTCTTGTAGTTTAAGACCACTCTGACCTTTTTTTTTTGGAAAATGATGATTATTTTAAAATGTTTATTTTGGCTTGACAATAATTAAAATAGTTTCTTTCATATAATGTATGTCTCAACAACTAGAAAAAAAACAAACATAAAGGATGAATCAAAGGAGTGATTTGTAAAGGCAGTACCAGCATGAAAAATTGAGGTAGTTATTTAGGTAACTCCAGCCCCAGATACTCTGCCTGAAATATTTGAGTATTTTAGTTAAAAGTTATTCCTTTTCCCATGGGTTATCTGAATGATTGAAAATCTCCTCTCTCTGAATGGACACAGCAGTGTCTTGTCTGACAAAAGGTAATGCAACTTGCTGAAAAGCTATCAGGTATTTCAAAATGGCTCATACAAAAAGTATCCACCCAGTAGTTAAGCACATTTTTTTTTTTAATTAAGGCAAAAAGTTAGTTAAAAAAAAAAAAGAACCTGTCAATAAAATGGCACCATGTCATGTTACATTTTAATGAACACATCTAAACTTTAGAACCACTGGTTAAGGGTGTCAGTTACAGACATCTGACAACCATTTAAAAATAGATAATAGCAAGAACAGCATTTAGAGCCACTTCTGCTTGAACTGTTTCCTTTCCACCATCTTTTCCTTGTGTGAAAGTAGCCTTTATCTAAGTGGGAATGGTTAAGATCAACTAACCAGATATTGGTGACTCAATTACTCTGCAGGCCTGTGGTCTGATTATAATAGCATACCAGCTAAGGGGAAATGTAAGGGACTTGTTTGCTTTCAGTGCTCTCAGTTGAAACCAAGGATTGTTGTCAGCTACCTTCTGAATCAACAGCTTGACACATCCTATATTAAAAGGTGCTGATGGCTAATAAACATGTTCAGATCTTGGAAATCAGGATGGAAAAGAAACTAAATGCAAAGTACATTGCCCTTTTGAAGTTCTTACAGAACATTTTGTCACGATGTGAGGATGTTTTTAGGAGTATGGAATTCCTATTTACTCACCTGCAAAGGTGCCACCCGAATCTCCAACTGCATTTGTTTTTAACAGCTCCGTGCACACGTATGCAGATATCAGCCGAAGCAGGAAGGAAGCAGTTGTGATTATTCTAATCTAGATGGAGCTGGGGGAATTAGAGGTCCTTGGGAAGAAAGCCCAGACTTTGGAGCTAGATGTGACATCAATGTGTGACTTCAGCCCAGTTTTTCCAGTCTGTAAAATGAAGACAGCAATGTCTACTTTTAAAGTATCTGTCATATTTCTTCCTCTTTAATTATTAAAAGTCTCTCTCTGTAAGACTTCAGGATATGATTATGTTATTAACTATATAAAGTAGTAGAAACTACACCTTATTGACATTGGTGCAATGACTAAAATAACAGAAAATTAGGTTGAGGAAAATTCTATATTTGGAAATAATGGGTTCAAAGGCAAAATTTAAAAACAATTTTATTTTAGAATGTATCTACAATAAATAAGAAAAGAAATTGGTGAAAATAGTTGGTGGCATGTTTAATTTCTAAAAAAAAAGAGGTGGAGATTCATCAACATCATCTCAAAATGTATTTTGAGTATGAAATACTTTTTAATACCTACCAGCACCACATTTAGATATGAGTTTTTGGGAGCCCATAGCCATGGAAGGTAGCGTAAATCCACACATATACGACAATGCTTGTGATTATTATGGAAACTCTGAACACAGGCACAAGCCCAGCCATTCCTCAGAGGCTGTGGTTGAGCCTTGCATTGATGAAATATAGCACTGAGGAGCGGTGGGAGTAGAAGTGGAAGTGAAGACTTTCTAAAGAGGCCTAAGTTGGTGGGGCTGAGCAGCAGCAGCAGCACCTGCATGGGCCACCTTGGGAACAGCACAGTTTCTGGTCTAAGGAGCGCACTGGGCTGGAACTTTGGGGTCTGTGGTGAAAGCTAACAATGAACAGGGTGCTCCTTTGTTCTGGGTAAAAGCTGGTGAGGCACAGGACGGGGCTGATAAGAATCATAGGGCTTGTGGGATAGCTCTGTAGAACTTTAGCTAGATATTTTTCTTCTTGTCCCCCTCCCTTTTTCATTGAGATACCCATGGGCTTTTCCCATGGGACATCAGAGTATCTTAAATTCTTTGCTTGAGTTACTGGCAGGTTCACAGGTTCACAAGGAATGTGTTATTTGGAGCTAATTCTGCCAAAAAGGAAAATTTTAAATGCAGAACTGTAAAGAAACTTGGGAGAATGTAATAGTGTCATCTTAAGGCTGGCAAAAGGAGGGAATAAACACCTGACCTACATGAGAGAAAAGAACATTTAGAAGTGTCTGAGTCCTCCTTGGGGTCTCCACAGGGGCATGGCCTATGTGGACGTAACTAGTCAGGACAGTCTGAACATTGGATCAAAGAGTTGAATGCCAGGCTAAAGAGAAGTTCAGTTCTGGATACCCTGCACCCACCTCTCCAGGGCCAAATCTTCCATGGCTGCCATCAACACGTCTGGTGTGGTACAGCTCACTTTGATCCTCACTCTAGACTGCTAGGCTCATCTGCTCCTCCCTAGCTTAAGACTTGCTGTAAATCAGTTGTTCTCAAACTTCCAAGTGTATCAGAATCTAGAGAGCTTGTTAAAACACTGGTTGCTGGGCTTCATCCCCAGGGACCTTGGTTCTGAAAGTCCCAAGAATTTACATTTCTTCCATGTTCCCAAATGATGTTGATGGTGTGGGGCAGGAACCACACTCAGAGAGAACTATGCAATTCCTGAAGAAAACCTATTTGCACTTGTTTTCTTTCTTTTTATTATTTTATTTTATCATTTTTGCATTTTCTTACATGTGTATACATTATTTGGGTCACCTCCCTGTGCTTGTTTTCAATCACTGATCTTACTTTGCTTTGCTTCTCACAGTTGCCAAGGTCATGAACAAAATGTGCTAGTGCTATGGAGCACACAAAAGATAAACCAAACAGGTACCTTGCAGGCAAACAGTACACATCTAGCTATTTGTGAGGGAATTCTGGGTGTGGGGAGCACACCCTGTACCACAAAGTGGTTCATCCTTTGGAGAGGACTGTCTTTTTTACAGCTGAAGATATCGGGAACACCTCCAAAGAAAGCAAGCATTTGAGCTTAGGTGTTTGAAAGCTGGAAGGTTTTGAACAGATGGAGATGGTAGGTGGTCCTTCTTGGTAAGAAAAACAAAACAAAAACATGAAGGCCAGAAAGAGGTGGAATTAGTATGGAAATCAGAAGTGAGTTTGTTGGGCTTGGCTTTTCATAGTTCTCCCCAGAACTCTCTTGGGGAAGCAATCTGTGATTAAGCCATCTAATCTTAAATCCATTAGTTCTGTCAGTAACTTAGTTCTAACATGGTGTCCAACACCAAGATCTGGAATGAATAACCAATGATAAGAATTTCAGGAGCTGTGGGTAGCGGAGGAGAGCATGTGGTTGCTTCAATATGCCTTCTACAAGTAACAGAAAAATCAACTCAAATTAGCTTAAACAACATGAGAATTAATTGCTCACACAATGGAAAAGTCCAAGAGATTGGTCAGGACCCAGCTCTGTTTCTGTGCATTTATGGAGGCTCAACGTCTCTCCGTTTTGGTTTCAACCTCAAGCCAGCTTTCACACAGTCTCAAGACAGCTCTCTCTGAAGAAAGAGACCCTGCTGTATGTATGCTTTCTTTTTCCTGTTAAGGAGAGTGAAAGACCTAAGTTTTGCACTGTTTGGGTCATCCCCTGAGCTAACTTTATGGAGAGAGCTCCATGCTGATTGGCTTAGACTTGGGTTACTGAACCAATCAGTGAGCACACCAGTCAGAGCCCACAAAGTAGGAAGGGTGAGGTTTGGACCCAAGTCGCTTCATTGGGAATCAATAGCCATGAAATGTAGGGTAAATCCATGTATACAAGACAGTGTTTGTGAGTATTATGGAAAGTATGAAAACTAAGGCACAAGCACAGCCATTCCTCAAAGGCTGTGGTTGAGCCTTGTTTGATTAAACATAGGCGCAATGGAGTAGTGAAGGAGGGTATGGAGGTGAGAATTTTGCATGTCATATAATTCACCCTTTTAAAGTGTTCAATGCAATGATGTTTTAGTAAATTTATCAAATGTACAAGCATCACCATAGATGAGTTTTAAAACATTTTTGCCACCTGAAAAAGATCCCTCAGTCACTCTTACTGTTAATTACTGTTCTCCCTACTGTAACCAGTTATCACAAATCTACTTTGTGTCCTCTGTTGCTTCTTTGAACATTTCATAAGAATGAACAATACAGTATACAGTCACTGATATCTGGCTTATTTCAAATAGAATGAGAATGTTTTTGAGGTTCATCCATGTCATACCACATATATGTCCTTTGCTCCATTTTGTTGCTCAGTTGTATGGCTAAGCCACTTTTTGTCTATCCATTTGCTAGGTGGAGATTTAGGTTGTTTCTAGTGGACATTCAGATTGTTTCTGATTTGTGACTATTCTGAATAATCCTGCAAAGCATATTTGTGTAAAGTTTTTGTGTAAATATGTTTTCATTTCTCTTGGCAGGATACCTTGGAGTGGAATTGCTGGGTCATTTGGTAAATTTATATTTAACTCTTTAAGAAACTTCTGAACCATTCTGCAAAATGTCTGTACTATTTTTGCATCCACTCTGGTGATATATGGGGGTTGTGTTCTTCTCCACATCCTCACCAACAGTCACTGTCTATTTATTATAGCCATCACAGTGGGTATGTAGTGGTATCTCATTGTGGTTTTGATTTGCATTTCTGTAATGACTAATGATTTTGAGCATCTTTTCA